GAAAATAAGAAGGAGGGAAAGAAATAGGGAAAGAGGAAAGGAGAGAAAGAAAGAAGAAGGAGGGGAAAAAAGAGGGGAAAAAGGAAAGAGGGAAAGAGAGAAAGGAGGGAAAGAAGGAAGGGGAAAAAGGAAGGAGGGAAAGAAGGAAATAGAGAAACAGTAGGGAGAGAGAGAGAGAATAAGAGAAGGAAAGAATGGAAGGAGAGAAGTAGGAGACAGAGAAAGAAAGAAAGAAAGAAAGAAAGAAAGAAGAAGGAAGGAAGGAAAGAAAAAGAAAGAAAGAAAGAAAGAAAGAAAGAAAGAAAGAAAGAAAGAAAGAAAGAAAGAAAGAAAGAAAGAAAAGAAAGAGAAAGAAAGAAAGAAGGGAAAGGAGGAAGAAGGGGGAAAGAAGAGGGAAAGAAGGAAGGAGGGAAACAGGAGACAGAGAGAGAGAAAGAAGGAGGGAAAGAAGGAAGGAGGGAAAGAAGGAAATAGGGAAACAGGAGACAGAGAGAGAGAATGACAGAAGGAAAGAAAAAAGGAAAGAAGGAAGGAAAGAAAGAGAAGGAGAAAGGAAAAAAACAGGAGACAGAGAGAGGGAAAAAAGAAAGAGAGAAAGAAAGAAAAGGAGAGAAACAGGAGAAAGGAAGGAAGGAAAGAGGGAAAGAAGAAGGGAAACACAGTTGGAGGGAAAGGAGGAAGGAGGGAAAGAAGGAAGGAAGGAAGGAAGGAAAGAAGGAAGGAGGGAAAAAATTAAGGAGGGAAAGAAAGAAGAGGGAAAGCAGGAAGAAAGGAAAAAAAGAGGGAAAAAAGGAAGGAGGGAAAGAAAGAGGGAAAGAAGGAAGGAGGGAAACAGGAGACAGAGAGAGAGAAAGAAAGAAGGAAATAAAGAAAGAAAGAGAAGGAGAGAGAAAGAAAGCAGTGAAACAGGAGATAGAGAGAAAGAAAGAAGGGAAGGGAAGGAAGGAAAAAAAAGAGGAAAAAAGGAAGGAGGGAAGAAAGAGGGAAAGAAGGAAGGAGGGGAAGAAAGAGGGAAAGAAGGAAGGAGGGGAAGAAAGAGGGAAAGAAGGAAGGAGGGGAAGAAAGAGGAAAGAAGGAAGGAGGGAAAGGAGGAAAAGAAGGAAAGAAAGAAGAAGGTAAACAGGAGACAGAGAGAGAGAAATAATGAAAGGAAAAAAGAAGGAAAGAAAGAGAAATAAGGAGAGAAAAGGAAATCAGAGAAACAGGAGACAGAGAGAGAGAGAGAGAGAGAGAGAAGAAGGGGGGAGAGATTACACAAGTCTGGCCGGGAGTGTGGGTGGGGCAGACACAGGAGGCGAGGGCAGGAGGAGGATGGGCAGAACCAGCTTTCTCTCTCCTCTCCCGTTTGTGGTGTGTGGGGACTGTCAGCACTGGGGACAGAATGTCCTGACAGATCCCCCGCAGTGCTGCAGGAGAAGGGGGGGGGCATGGGGGAGCATACAGGAGCCCAGGACATGCAGATGATGGATAGAAGGGTTGGCCAGGTGGCACATAGAGGAACAGAGAAATGCACAGTCCAGTTACTCTATGTGCCACACGGCCACCCCTCCTATGCAGGTGGCCCAGGCCTACCAAGCAAATGCCCGGCGTGCCCTATGGCCAGTCCAGGCCTGGTATAGTGTCAGTGTATATTATTAGCACTGATCACGATATTAGTGTCACTATAGTTGTCAGTGGCAGTGGACAAAGTGTCAGTTAGTGTCAGATTGCAAGCTGTACTATTACAGTCCCGCTATAAGTCGCTGATTGCCGCCATTACTAGTGTAGCACCATCCCGCAGTGGCCGCTGGAAGATGTCCCCAAAGGTTGTCCTGACCTTGCAAGCCTTCTGACACCTCTGACACTCTAGTTCAGACATAGTTCACAAAAGATCACAATTGCAGAGACACCAGACTACAGTAAAGCAACTGAGTATTTACTGAGGGTTTTTAAGTCAACAGTCAGAAACGTATGATAATGCAGATATCGTGGAATATGAACTTTTTAGTCTCTGAGAGAATAAAATACAGATATGCAATGTAAAAAGTATCACAGTAAACCAAACAATGATTACCAATATTCCCTGAAAGAACCTATGACCTCAGTTATAAAATGGAAAAGGAAGACCTTTCTGGGTCAAGCTGCTTCCTTTAAAGTGGAGTTCCAGTCGCACTGTGAAAAAATAAAAGTCAGCAGCTACAAAAACTGTACCTGCTGACTTTTAAAAAACAGCCACTTACCTGCCCCACTATCCCACGGTGTCCTTCCCACAGCCCATTTCATTAGCCATCTGGTGTTCCAGGCGCCGGCATCTTCAGTGTGGGCACCCCGGCTGTGAAGCCGCAGGCACATGTGCGAGTAGCGCTGTGCTTCCTGAATGGCCCCGTAGTCTTCTGGGTCCCAGAAGACTACAGGGAGGGAGTGTAGGAGGACAACTTTCACTTCCGATCACCTAGGTAATTGCAGTGGAAGTGGGAGCGGGTACCTGTCAATTTCGGGTACCCGCTCCCCTCCGCTTCCCAAAGGTTCCAATCCTTAATTGGGAGTGGAGAACCAGTCTTTAAAGTGGAACTTCCCCTTTTGGGTGGAGCTATGCTTTAAGTCCTGATGCCATGAGCCTAGAAAGTATCAGCACAATTTGTAAGAACTCAATATGTGAACAGTGCAACAAGCAAATTTGGGGTAAGAGTTCCCCTTAGTACACACAGATGTCCTTTATGTGGGGGAGGGTGAAGGAAGAAGAGAGAAGTCCTGGTGGTGTAGGTGTTCAGAATCTTCGGCTAGCTCATCCTGGGCCTGGAAAGATTGCTGTACAATGGCAACCAGCAATAGTGAATAGAATACGCAAAAGGTTTCTTGCTAGAAGCTTTGTGTAAAAAGATGGGCTAAAGGTGTCAGCATGTAGTATGTAGAAGGTACACAGTGTGGGCTTCTGCCTGCTCACCAATCCTAATGATACCCAGGCTCAAGGTAATGGGATGTCTGTAACCAGTGAAAGATGCTTGAATCGCGTGCTTGGTGTAACTGGGATTCCACTGGGTCTGTGATGGTGACGATGAGAGTGACCCCCAGCAGTCACTCAGCTGGCAGGGAGCTAGAAATGGAGGATCTGCCTGCAGGTGTAGGACACACTTGCTGAAGACTGTCCCTGTTGTCGGGGCCACGAGGTCTGCTCACACTCTGCAGAGCAACCAGGCCCCTCTTCTCAGCTAAAGGCCATGGTCCAAAGAGAGCAAACTTTTTCAGGGCTGGGCTATTTATATCATCTCCCAGCATTCGTACTTCTCTCCACAGCCAACTGGAACTTGTAGTTCAAGGCAACACTGGTTCTATGTAAAACCCATCTTTCTGGACTACATGTCCCACAGTTCCCTGCTCTCAGAATAGATCCTTCTCTCCATCTGCTTCCAGGAAGTGATGTCACAATGGCTAGGCTGAGCACTAGAGGGAAGCAAACTCAAGAATGTTTCATGATGACATGGGTAGACTAGCCAACACTGAGCTATAGCAGTAGAAAAAAAATACAAATTCCAGTATCTATACCATGGTTTGTAGGTGCTATACCTTCCACGCAAAGTTCTATGCATGAAGGGAAAAATCTTCTTTGTGCTGCATCCCTCCAGCCCTAAGCGCCCTTTCAATCCAGCTATGTGCCCTGGAGTCTCAGCTAACCCGGGGCTCCCTCTCCTCATTGGCTGAGACAGAAGCGAGAGCCATTGGCTCCCACTGCTGTCAATCACAGCCAGTGAGCCAATGAGAAGAGAGAGGGGGGTGGAGCCAAGCCACGGCTCTGTGTGTGAATGGACACATGAAGCAGTGTGTTCCCCCATAGCAAGCTAGGTGCTATGGGGGAACATAGCACCTAGCTTGCTGTATCCTAGGAAGCCAGGTGGGCTCCCCAGGATACAGTGAAGTCACGAACGAGGAAAGCAACCCCAACACCAGCTTTTGCCACAACAGAATTTTAGATGTGGCAAATAAATACAACCACAAATGCTGGAAACATACAATAAATTTACATACACCCAGCCCAAGGGCTGAGACCCTTGTGCAGCACAGCACAGCGCCTGCTGATGGATGAAGGTATAAAGTGTAGTAATTTACCTACTGGCGGGCACAACTAAGCTGCCACACCTTACCCATTATTACCCTAAAAGAGCAGGAATCAGTGTATGGGTGTACGGTATGGGCTAGCCTGCGGTGCAGTACAACATCTTACAATCTTACACAAATCTACAGTATTCCCTCTCCCATTACTGGTCCTGTAGCACGTGCCTGAGTATTCCTTCTGAGCAAAATGCCAGTCTGGCTTGAGTTTGTAAGATTTTATCAGCTCTCCAATGTGAAATGTCACTTTAAGTCCTTCCAATGATCAGTAACAACACTTGTGGCCTGACACAAACAGAGACCCTAACTAACTAACTATAGGCCTGGACTCAGTCTCAAGGCGCCAACACTGAAATGAGGTGCGTGCACGATCTTACCGACCCGGGTCTGCTTTGTATACGCTGGTGACTCTGAACAGAACAAATGTCTCTCCAACAAGCATGCGGTCTCGCCATATATGTTGCTTAATTCCTCTGCTCTCATCAGCCTTCCTGGCAGCAATCTCATCAGCATTCCTGGCAGCAATCTCATCGGCTTCGCTTAGCTGCAGCTCTGGTTACGGAGGGACACTTTCACACCTGGATGTCATCCGATTCTCAGCTCACAGGGCCCCTTATTCACCATGCTCCAAAACATGGCTTCTCTCTCTCTCCTTCCTGTTCTCTCCAACTCTGTGTGCAAAAAAACCCAACCTCTTCATGAATATACAAATATCTATGGAGTCTGAGGCTGTGTTAGAAAAACAGTGACATCTTGTGGCTAAACCTCAGAATGTCAGTCAAAAAATTAATTTACTTCCACACAAACAGTGTTCAAAACAATGAGAGCTGTTTCACCATCTCACAGGGTGTTATGATCCGCCATGGTGGTGCCTCAGGCTGCCAACTGACAGACCTACTCAGAGCGGGGGTCTAAGCCCGGGCTGTGCTTTCACCAGGGCCCCTGATGGTGGGGATGGACTTGAAACAGTCCCGGGCCAGGTCACGACCTCCGAGCAGGCCCACCAGTGGCTGAGGAGACCTCCGGGGACAGGTACCGGGAGAGCCAGATGTGAAGAGGATGGCGCAGCCCCAGCAGGGTAGTAACGGATCGTGGGCCCGTGAGGGTAAGCGGGGTACAGAATCGGTGGGCAAAGAGTAGTCGGGTCACACGCAGGATCAGCAGGGTAAGTCAGTCCGTAGAAGTCAGTCGAGAATGGTCAGGGCAATCCGGGTCAATCACAGGAGCAGGCAGAGTAGTCAGGACAATCCGGGTCAATCACAGGAGCAGGCAGCGTAGTCAGGGCAATCCGGGTCAATCACAGGGGCAGGCAGTGTAGTCAGGGTCAATCAGGGTCACTAGACGGGTGCAGGAACTCAGAATCACAGAAAAGACCTTGCGGCAATCTGTGACAGTGCAGGGCATCTTTAAATAGTGCGCCCTGCACTGTCATTGGCCGGCTAGGACGCGCCCCTCGGCTGTCATTGGACGCCTGAGGCGCACCCGCGGCTCCTACTGCGCATGCACGGCGTCCTGTCAGCCGCGGCTCGCCGGGACCTAGTGCCTGTGTCCCCGCGCGATCTGCCGTCAGTGCGCATGCACGGGGGACGGCGCCGCGATCCGGGACTACGGAGCCGCGATCCCTGACATTGCCCCCCCCAATGGGCACCCTCCGGGAGCCCCACTGATCTCTCCACCGCGGGTGACTACGACAAAACTTCCGGATGAGCCTGGGTGCGTGAATGTTCTGGGCGGGTTCCCATGAGTTCTCCTCAGGGCCATAACCCTTCCATTTTATCAGGAACTGTGTCTGGCCCCCCCTCTTCGGCAACTGAGGATAGTCTCCACTTCATATTCCTCCTGGTCACCTATGGTGACTGCCTCGGGAGGTCCGGATTCACGGTCCGGGAAGGGATCCGGTCTGGATGGCTTCAGGAGAGACACATGGAACACAGGATGTATCTTGAAGGTCCGAGGAAGCTCGAGTTCGTAGGCCACCTCGTTGACTACTCGTTTTACCCGAAATGGGCCAATGTACTTGGGTCCCAGCTTCCTTGAAGGGCACAGCATCTTCAAGTTGGTCGTTGCCAGCCAAACCTGATCCCCTGGTTGAAGCAGTAACTCTCCTCTTCTCTTTCTGTCGAACGCCCTTTTACTGTCCTCTTGGGCTTTAGCGATGGCTTCCTGAATCATTTTGTTATTGACAGAAAAGAAGTTCAAGATGTCTTGAGACGCCGGTACCGGATTTTCAGGCATTAGATCAGGGAGGAATGTGGGATGATACCCGTAATTGGAAAAGAACGGGGATTGACCCATAGCTGAGTGACTCGAGTTGTTGTAAGAGAATTCTGCGGAAAGCAACAACGTCAGCCAGTCATCCTGAAGGTAGGATGTGTAGCATCGTAAGTACTGTTCCAGCGTTTGGTTGGTCCTCTCGTTTGGCCGTTGGTCTGTGGATGGTAGGCGGATGAAAGCGACAGCTTGATTCCCAGCGCTTTACACAAGGCGTTCCAGAACCTGAGGTGAATTGGACCCCCCGATCTGACACTATATCTTCGGAACCCCATGAAGCCTCACTACTTCCTTAATGAAGATCCGTGCCGATGGGGTCTTCTCCAGGGGCATGAAATGTGCCATCTTTGAGAAACGGTCGACGATCACCATTATTGCTGTGTAGCCTTGGGATGGTGGGAGTTCGACCAGGAAAATCCATGGCTATCATTTGCCAGGCCCGCTTGGGTATGGGTAATGGACGTAACAATCCCCATGCCCTGCTCCTGGAGGGCTTGTTCCTTTGACAGGTGGGACAAGTCTGGACGTAACGCTCACAATCCTTGATCATGTCCTAGCCACCAGAACGAGCGCCGTAGTAGTTCCAGAGTTTTTCGTAACCCCGAAGTGACCCGCCATTGGATGGTCGTGGCAGTGCCCTAGGACCAAGGTTCGCACTTCTTCTGGGACCATGATCCGGTCTTCCTTCCAAAACAGCCCACCGTGGCTCTGGAGGGGTGACCCAGACGGAACTGGTAGTCCTACAGAAGCATCGAGAAGCCGGGAGCGAAGTTCCGTTTGTAGAGCGAGGAAGCTTCCAGAAGGTAAGATGGTGTCAGGTACTACGGCGTCGTCGGGGTCCTCAAACATGCGGGACAGAGCGTCTGGTTTTGTATTCTTAGTACCCGGGTCGGTACGTTATATGGAATACAAATCGAGAAAAGAAAAGAGCCCATCTCGCCTGGCGAGGTCTCAGTCGTTTTGCCGTTCTTTAAATATTCAAGGTTTTTGTGATCTGTGAATATTAGGATTGGGTGCGTGGCTCCTTCCAGTAAATACCTCCATTCTTCTAGAGCGGCTTTAATGGCCAGGAGCTCCCGATCTCCAATGTCATAGTTACGTTCCGCCGGTGTCAACTTCCTAGAGAAGAACGCCACAGGGTGCAGTAGTTTCCTTGGTACCATTCCTTTGGGACAGAACCGCTCCTACCGCGTTTTCGGAGGCGTCCACTTCCAAAACATATGGGAGAGAAGAATCCGGATGGCAGAGAATGGGAGCAGAGGTGAACAATTTCTTGAGCTTTTCGAATGCCGTCTGAGCTTCGGGAGTCCACTTAAAGCGGACCCCTTGTTTCGTCAGTTGCGTGATCGGGGAGACCCAGACCGAGAAGTTTCCTAACAAACTTTCTATAAAAGTTAGAAAAGCCGATGAAACGCTGTACCCCCTTTTTGTCGGCGGGTATTGGCCAATCTAAGATCGCCGTGACTTTCTGGGGATCCATCGCGACCCCCGCGGAAGAGAGAACCAGTCCCAAGAACGTGATTTCGCACTGTTCGAAACAGCACTTTTCTGCCTTAGCGTATAGCCCGTGTTGACGCAACCCGTTCTAATACCCGTAACACGTGACCTCGATGAACCTCCAGTGAGGGGGGAAAAAATTAGATGTCATCCAAATAAACCACCACACAAAAATATCGAGGAAATCACGAAAAACATCGTTGATAAAGTGCTGAAAGGTTGCCGGTGCATTACAGAGCCCGAACGGCATCACCAAATACTCATAGTGACCGAATCTCGTACGGAACGTGCCGTCTTCCACTCATCCCCCTCCCTGATACGAACAAGGTTATAGGCCCCCCGCAGGTCTAATTTAGTAAATATCGTTGCCGATCTCAGTCTCTGGAGGAGCTCGGGGACTAGGGGTAAGGGATAACGATTCTTTACCGTTATTTTGTTCAGATCACGGTAGTCTATGCAGGGCCGTAACGATTTGTCCTTCTTCTCTACGAAGAACAACCCGGCCCCGGCTGGGGATGTGGATGGACGAATAAATCCCTTCCGAAGGTTTTTCGTCAATATATTCCCTCAGTACTCCCGATTCCGTTTTCAGACAAGGGAAAGATACGGCCCGAATGAGATTTCAGATCCGGTAGGAGGTCTATGGGGCAATCGTAGGAACGGTGCGGAGGAAGAATGTCAGCTCCTCGCTTACTGAAAACGTCTAAGAAGTCATGGTAGGCCGGAGGAATAACCTGGGATAGATTGGTGTCGCCATCCAAGCACAGGAGGAACCGGGGAACCACGGATCCTGTGACGTGGCAGTGACTCAAACAATAAGGTGACCGAAATTGAATTGTTCCCTTTTCCCAGTCAATCTGGGGGTTATGGGCCCTCAGCCAAGGGAGCCCCAGAATGACCGGAAAAAGGGGAGATGCGATGGCATCCAAACGGAGGAACTCCTGGTGATGGTCTGCCATTGTGGTGAAAATGGGTGGTGTCTCCTGGTCCACCACCCCTGATTTTATACTGGACCCCATCTGCCAAGAAGATGTTGAACCCCCTTTCTTTGGTCTGGAGAGGGATTTTTTGCCGGTGGGCAAAAGTCAGATCGATAAAACAACTACAGGCTCCTGAGTCAACGATTGCGGTCACCGACAATGTTCCTCCGGGGAGCTGTAAAGACACAGGTATGGCCAGGTAACTTGACGGGTCATCCCTTCCTGCAGGTAAAGTAAAAGAAAAGGACGTGGACTTACTCATTTTTGCAGGACAGGAGCGCACCTGGTGACCAGCTTCCCCGCAGTACAGACATAGGTTCTGTGATCGTCTCCTCTGACGTTCCTCGACCGATAAGTGGGAACGGGCCAGTCCCAGTTGCATGGGTTCCGGGTTGTCCCCTGTTTCCGTGCTTCGCGGATGGTTCCCTGGGGCTGGAGCTGTGTCTCTCGATGGAATCCATGCCACCCTTTTACCCTGGCTGCTCCTTTCCAGCCAACGTTCCCTTAGTCTACGGTCAATTTGAATGGCCAACTCAATCAGTTTTTCCAGGGAGTCAGGTAGGCCTACTCGTGCTAGTTCATCTTTGAGAGACTCAGACAGCCCGATGCGGAACTGGTGACATAAGGCCGCATCGTTCCATCTGGTGTCTCCCATGCAACGCCTAAAATCGGACGCGTATTCTTTGGGACTGTCCGGCGGCCCTGCCGTATAGAGAGTATAGGGTAGCCTCTGCGGAAGCAGCCCGCTGAGGGTCGTCATACAAAACGGCCATGGCCTGAAAGAACTCGTCACGGAGTCAAGATGGGGGTCGTGCTTCTCCATCAGACGGTGAGCCCAATCCTGGGGCTCATCCTGAAGGAGAGAGACTATAAACCCCACCTTGACGGTCTCGGTAGTGAACGTGCGGGGCTGCAAGTCGAAGTACAGGGTGCAAGCGTTCCGGAAGGCTCGGAAGCGGCTCCGGGTCACCACGGAATCGTTCCGGCAGGGGAACGTGGAGTTCGTCCCAAAATGTTTCGGCCACTGAAATTTCGGTGCATCCCTAGTAGAAATCTCCTTTTATTGATAGTGAAAAATTGACCCTTGACGTTGGTTGTCATGGTAGACATGAGATCAATCCACCAATGCTCACTTGGTGGGGCACCCCAGCAATCTCTGAAGGTACCCTAGGTAGGTCTGAAATAGCTAATTGTGACACTGTAACAGCAAAGACATTTTCTACATAGAGGTATCTTCAGCAACATTTAGAAACTAAAAGTTTAGTCTTCTGGCTATGTCTCCTGTTGTCTGGTCACAGAAAGCTTTTGCAGATCAGCTATCGCTTAGACTTTCTTCAGACCCTTGGCTAGCTTTCCTTCTGTTTCAGTCACTGACATGCCGTCCAGACATTATGTTGCAGTTTTCTAGTCACGCTTCCAGCCTGTACAGATCCCTGTCCATTCAGGCACAGACAGGCCCATTATATCGATGTAGCC